TACAGACCCGTCTCTCGATGAGGCGGCCTCATCTGAGTTGCCTGTTCCCTCCGTGACCGATTCCGCCGCTCATGGTGAGTTCTCCTGCGCGCCGTTCGAAGGAGTCTCTGCTCCCGCTGGCCCCGGCAGCTTCCTGGGTAGATTGTCTTCAAATCAAACACCCGCAGTGATGAAGACTTTCTGTATGCCCTGTTTGTTTCCATTCACAGGGTTGACGTGAATTCACGGCAGTTTCCCCCAAAATGTCTCACCCTCTCGAGGAAGATGACGGTTCCCTCTCGCCGCCAGCTTCTAAGAAACGCCGTCTCGAATCCGAGCCAGCTGACCTTTCACTACCACCTCCACCGACCACCTTAACTGCAGATCAAGTACCGGGAAATCAGATTGAAGAAGAATTGGCATCTGCATTAGGCTCTGGTGTTGTCGACCCCGTGGACCATCCCGTGGACCGTCCTCTAGACACGCCCGCTCCCATCGAAGGATCTGCAGAAAGCGCGGTGCCACAACCAGAAAGCAGTGCTGATATTGATTCGGACATGGCTACTGTGATTTCAAGTATCATGAATCACGCAGAACGTGTGGAGGAACAATGTGTGTTAGGCCAGCAGCAACTGGCGGAGACCTCCAGCGCGTCGCCTCCGAAGGGCATGGTGTTTGTCAAAGCCAACTCACATCTGAAGATTCAGAGTCTGCCCATTCTTGACAATTTGGTAAGTCGCGACTTACTTCGCGTGACTTTGCTTACAGGATTCTAACCCGCGGTGTCTCTAGTCAACCCAGATTCTGTCGCTGCTAGCCAAGTCCTCGTATCAGGAAATCACGTCCTTCGTTTCCGAACCCGAGACCGAGAGTGGCCAAGCCTATGCGACCATGCGGTCGCTGTTCGATCATACAAAAAAAGTCTACTCGAGCAAAAAGTCCTTCCTTTCGCCTACAGAGCTGGAGCTCACCGAATCCTCCCAGATCGATATTATTCGCAAAGCCAATCTAGCATCCTTTGTTTCCAGTATTTTTGGCACGCAGGAGATCGGATTTTCGGAACTCAACGATAACTTCCTTGATGTGTTTGTTCCCGAAGGTGGCCGTCTACTCAAGGTGCAGGGTGCCTTGTTCTTGGAACTTAAGACCCAGGCGTTCATCGCATCGATGAACAATTCGGAAAGAACCCGAACCGAGCTGCTTTACGACCTGTTTCCCGATGAGCTGGAGCAACAGCTGCTTGATCGGCGTCCAGGGACTCGTCAGCTGGCTCCAAGTGAAGCGGACTTTGTCAAGCGGGCCGGTTCGCGCCGTGACATTCTGCTGAGCGACGTCAACAACGAGGAAGCCATGAAGGCCTTGCCGGACAAGTACCACTGGGAGGATTTTCTTCGAGACTTGAGCTCCTACATCACCAAGAACTTCGATACCATCAGCAACCAACAGGTCTGAATCCCCATCATTCATCTTTGCACGTGCCTGTACTAACGATGAGCCAGACGAAAAAGACCGCTAAGGGTCGACAACCATCCTCGTCCGACGGAGACTCACAGCCGTCCAATGCTCCTTTGCAGGGCCAATTCCCCGTCTCAACCCAGCCACCTGATGTTCCTGTTGACAGAAACATGCACGGCGACTTGGTTGCGCGTGCGGCTCGTGCGGCGCAAATTGCATTGCAAGGCCACGGCTTGAGACGCTCCCAGCAGCAGCAGGCCCAACAGAACCAGCAACAGCAACCGTCGCAGCAGCAACCACAGCAGCACCAACAACAGCATCAGATGCATCAACCCCAGCAACTTCAGCAGCAACCTCCTCAGCATGCGCCGCAGCAGGGGGGGCAGATTCTGCATGGCTATTCTGCTGCCCAGCCCACGGGTCAGATGCAGCATCAGCAGACTCACCAGCAGCCGTATCATCATAGTCCCGCTCCGTCCGGTTACCAGCAACCTCCTGGTCAACTAACTTTCCAGCAAAGCCCCCTGCAGGCCAACTTCCAGCAATACAACCATGTGACTCCTGCTTCGATTCCGCGACCCAACTCAGCCGCAGCCAACCATGGCTATATGCCGGGGATACCACACTACTCGCAGTCTCAGCCGACTCAAGTACTCTACGAGCGCGCGCGCATGGCGGCATCTGCCAAGTCGTCGCCTAGCAGCCGCAAGTCTGGGTTGCCCAGCCAGCGTCGGCCGTGGACGACGGAGGAGGAGAACGCATTGATGGCCGGGCTGGACCGGGTCAAGGGCCCGCACTGGAGTCAGATTCTTGCCATGTTTGGCCCGGGAGGCACTATCAGCGAAGCGCTGAAGGATCGCAACCAGGTTCAACTGAAGGACAAGGCGCGGAACTTGAAGCTGTTCTTCCTCAAGAGTGGCATTGAAGTGCCGTATTACCTGAAGTTTGTGACAGGAGAGCTAAAGACGCGTGCCCCTGCGCAGGCAGCCAAGCGCGAGGCCCGCGAACGGCAGAAGAAGCAGGGAGAAGAGGACAAGGCACATGTTGAAGGCATTAAGGGCATGATGGCGCTTGCCGGTGCACATGCGCAGCCGGTTGGAATGACACACGGCCACGATATGTCGGCATCGCCACTGCCACCAGATGCTGGAGCGCATGCGGCGTTTGACCAGACAGCCGAGCAGAACCTGATGCAGACGCTGGGACAAGAGGTGCATGGTGAAGCCTTTGGGCAGCATCACCACCACCATCACCATCACCAGCATCACCCGCATCATACCCACCATCAAGACCATGTTGATCCCAATATGCATCTTGGACAATAAAGCGTCCGTCATGGCTTGTGTTTAAGCTTCTGCTCAATGTCCATCTCATTCTTCTTTGCTCCTTTTCCACATGTATCAAAATGTGTTCTATGTTTTCTTTTGCGACATCTATTCTAGCGATTATGTTGATTTCCGATGTGACTGTCCGGGGGAGTTGATTGGGGGTCCCGAGGGTGCTTTGCTTGCTGGGGAGACGAACGGCCATGTAGAGTTGGGGCTGTGTACCAACATTGTTCATTTTTCGTAATTGCGAGGCAGCATTAGGGACTTAATGCAAGACTGTACTTTATGAATTGACTGTTCGGCCAATATCAAGCATGTAATTGCTGTAGACGTAGCCAGAAAGATACACTATAGTAGCAGAATCGGGCCGACCGCGGACAAGAGCAGAGAGACGAATGGCTCTCCGCTCCGGCAGCGCGACCCGGCCAGTCGACTCTCCGCCATCCCATCCATCTTTCAAGTCCCATTCATTCTTCGTCTTCCTCCCACACAACCCCCCTGCAGCTTATTCCCTTGTGCTGGTAACTCAGAACCAGCGCATCACCGCCATCCCGGCTCATTGTCTGACCGCCGACGCGCTCCTTCATTCACTATTGGACTAGTTCTGGCCGGCCCTCCCTTGCTCGCCAGCCACCAACCACCCATTACCACCACTCACCTTCATTCACTAGTAACACTACCACCATGGCCGACTCATCGGCTTCGCAACCTCCCCCTCCAGCTGCTGCTGCTGCTGCTGCTTCCACTTCCGCCCCGGCTCCAGCTCCAGCTCCCGCAGCATCGCAAGATTCCTCCGCGACTGTCGTCCCCAAACAAGAACCAGATACCGGTGACAACAACCTGGATGCATCTATCGAACAGGACATCGACCTAAACGCAAACAACACCGCCAACATGCCGAATCAGAATCCCGCTGGCAATGACGCCGCGGCCGCGGCCGAAAACTCCATCCCCGCGCCCACCTCCGTGGACGCTCTGGCGGCCGCCGCAGCGCCTGCCAAGAAAGAAACCAGCTTGCGGGAGTTCATGGGCAAGATGGATGAATATGCGCCGATTGTAAGCTTCCTTGCCTTTCCAGCTGGATTACCCTCCTATGTCACTTTTTTCTCTCCACTACCACCCTCGTTTACTTCCACCCCATATTTCTGTCCTATATCTTACTAACACGAATATCCTTAGATCCCCGACGCTGTAACAGCCCACTACCTCACTCTCGCCGGTCTCCCGCCTCCGGGTAACGGCCCCAATCAAACACCACCACACCTCGCCCGCCTCCTCGCTCTCGCAACCCAGAAATTCATTGCCGATATTGCCGCCGACTCGTATCAGTACGCGCGCATTCGCGCCTCCAACAGCTCCTCCGCCAGCAACCCCATGGGCAGTTTGAACGCCGCCTCGGGGTTGAACATGCCCGCCGGCGCTGCGGGTGTGGGATCCGCTGGTGCTGCGACAGGCGTATCAGGCGGCGATGCAGGAAAGGGCAAAGCGGGCACGCACTTGGGAATCCAGAGACCTGGGTTTGGAGGTGGTGGGTCAGGAGGTTCCGGACAGGGACGGACGGTGCTTACGATGGAGGATTTGGGTATGGCAGTGTCGGAGTATGGGGTTAGTGTCAAGAGGGGGGAGTTTTATCGGTGATTTTTTCCCCCTTTCTTTTTCCCACGTTGGGAATGCTTTGGGGGGTTTGTTTGTTGCAAACGTGCTGGATGTTCATGGGCATGGGCATGGGGATATGGGTAGATCGGAGACGGGACGGGATGGGATGTGCTGTTTTACTTTACTTTTTCTTTTCATCTTTGCTTGCTGGCGTAAAATACTGGGCAACGGCCGAACGATATCCTGCATGTGGGCCGAGTTTGAAATATACAAAAGGCGTTTAGGGCGGAGTTATCGAGATATGATATGATATGGTAGGAAGGGCGGCAACCAACAAAAAGAAAGAAGACAATAACTGAGACATTAATAGAAGTGACTTGATGTTCTGTGCTTTATGTGTTGAGAAGTCCATTGACCTGTTGAATTTTATGGTCTGTCTAGTAGTTTACATGCAACACGTAGATATACATTGGTGGAAGAATAAGCAGTAAGGAACTGGATATAACGCCCGAGATAATAAAAAAAGAACCTAGCCATGCAAATATGAAAATCACCACCTTTCTGTCCGTCTGCCTGTCTGTCTGCTATACCTCTTGAGCTGACAATCTACCTATCCCCATGTCGCAGAGGACCCAGTAAGATTCCAATGCAGAGCACACAGCAGGATAGCCACATAGCCAGACAGCCACACACAACCCTAAAAGCAATCATTTGTTCTTCGACTGCTTGTACGTGAATCTCTTCCGAGTCCTATCGAAACGATTCAGTTAGCAGTGATTCCATCATCATCATCATCATCATGATCACACGCCAATCGAATCTCTCGTTCTCCCGAATATCTCCCAACCGTCCTCTTGTCACCCAAAGCCTCCAACCTCCCCAACCTTCCATATCCCACCCCATCCTCCCCAGGAGAGAAAGAAAGAAAAAAAAAAGGAAAAGAGAAAAAAAAAAACTCACGCAACAAACTCCCCCAACTTCCTCCCGACCATCTCCTCCGTGATCACAACATCTTGATAAATCTTCCCATTGTGAACCTGGAACTTCAATCCCACGAAGTTAGGCAGGATCGTAGCGCTGCGCTTCTGCGTCTTGATCGGTGGTGTTCCTGGCGGAGCGGGGAGTTTGCGGGGGAGAGGGAGACTATTCATAGCTTCTGTTAGTATATATCTCTAGATCCATCGTATGTGTGTTCAGTGACGAGTTTAATCGACTAGGAGTCGAAGGTAATGGCATTGAGTTGCGGTGTTGATAACAGGTTATAATGTAGGTAGGGGAAGGAAAGGGAAATAAATGCGACGAGGACGTACGGGACGATGTTCGGGCCTGTTAGGTATGCAATGTTAGATGGGGTTCAATTTCTTCCAGGAAGATTCATCATAGAGGGATAAGAGGTAGTAGTAGACTCACCCTTCCAGACCGAGCGAGAGAAGAGAGCTCGCGTGGGAAACATCTTGGTGTTTTTTTTTGTGCTGTTGGCTTTTGGCTGATGCGGACCGGCGGCGGGTTTGCGATGGATGATTGATTGGGGTGGGTTTGAGATGGAGCGGAGGGCGGATGGATTATGTAAGATTTTTGTGCTTGGTTGGGGATTGGTCTATGGTCTAGTTATGATTTTATTTGCATTATATGTAAACTGATGAGGTCTTCGTGGTTATTGAGTTTTTTTTGTTATTCTAATACATATATATGTATTTATTGACATTTTAAGAAGCTAGTATAATTCATACAAAAATAAAATTGCCAAATTGGTGAGTTGAGTGAGTAAGAAGAGCGAAATGCGGTAGTATCCATATCTACTCCATACATGACATTGCGAATCCACTCTGCATGAGACAAAAAAGAAAAAAATGAATCATTTAGCTAGCATGTCCTGGTTTCGATCCAGGGACCTCCGGGTTATGAGCCCGGCGCTCTTCCCCTGAGCTAACATGCTGGGTTGGTTGAAGGGAATTTTGTTGTTAATGTTATGACTCAATAGGGTATGGATGGATGAATGTGTGATTGTTCCTAGATTTCAATGTGCGGCGGCGCTTCACGTGATATCAGATGTCCGGCTACAAACGGAGGTACGTTTCCTCCCCTTCAACTTCTATTTCAGGTTCTGTTTGTGATTTCCATGGTATATTGTGTTTTTTCTTATTTATGGTTTGGTGTTGCATGTGGTATGAGAAAATTATGTACCGTTGGCAGGTTATACATACATATCCTGAGTCGAGAAAGTGTAGTTAGTCGTTATTAGATGCATACATAGAAGCAGAATATTCCTCTATCAGGATATATTCCATGGTTCTGACATTCCACATGATCGGGTTTTCCTCTCATTAAGCTTGCCAGCTCATGATAACACTGGCAAGTGATGTAGGCATGTGCTATCGTAGACCAGTGGAGACCTCGTATAGATCACACTGCACAAGTAGCAACTCCTCGCCAAGGCAGCCTCAGCTTGATTTAACATTCGAAGGATCGTTCTGCTACAGACTATATTCTTGAGCACCGTATATACATCTTGATATCAGCCATGATGGTTTATACCATGATGTCAGCCCAACAATTCATTTGCCCGGCGTCGCTGGGAAGACATGCGAGAATGCATCAATGTACGGAAGACGATGGCCTCATGACTTGGCTGATAGGAGGGATGGTTTGGATTACTACGTTCGTCTAGCGACGGTCTGTAGGTTGTCATTGCCTGCCACTGTTTGAGATATTCGCGATCTACCACTGGAGATACTATATCATGAGATGTATGCCATTCTGCAGAAGTGTACTGCGCAGGGCAGTTCTCCGCATGGTGATATATACATCTATTGCGCTCGATTATCTCCCCTAGCATGCCCTGTGATGTAGGGATGTTTGACAATGTCAAAATGTAAGTTATCCTGCTAGTATAGAGTCTTGGAAGGTTAAGAAGAGGACCAACGAAGTCAGGCTATATCTTTGAGGGATAACGTGTAGCCTTGTCAAAGAGCAGACCGTAACAGATCAGAAGAGATCAATAAGAGAGTTTGTACGGACAATTTGATTGCTGTTCGGTTGTCTTGGTAAGAGAGCAGATGGGACAAAGAAAAAAAAGAATCAGATAGCATGTCCTGGTTTCGATCCAGGGACCTCCGGGTTATGAGCCCGGCGCTCTTCCCCTGAGCTAACATGCTTGGATTGATGTTGAAAGCTCCCCACTTTGGCACTATTATCCTAAGCTTGCGAGCCATGTGCACAGCACTCATCCATGTGCATATGTTCTACCCTGCAACATGAAGATTTATGCAACGGTATTCAGTACCAAATAATTGATGTACATTTGTATATTCGCTAACACCAAATTGTTTCATATAGCATCTAAATCGCCCGCGAGTTTCGATGCCTTGGCCTGCATATCGTACACTTACTCGACGGCAAGTCCGGACAGGATTTTGATCAAGTTCCGTATCCCTTTAAGCACATTCTCGTCCGGCCCCTGACCCGGTGTCCAACTGGCGTGGGCAAAATCGATCAGACGAAGGTCATGCACCTTCGGGGGATCCTCATCCTCATCATCTTCCAAATCCCCCAAGTCTCCCAGATCGGCCAGCTCGGCCATTTCGGGGTCGATGTTGATGTTGATTGCCTGGTGCGATTTGATTCCCTGACCGACCGGTATATCAACCACCTGGATTGACCCGCCCTGCTGGATGTGGAATTCCATGTTTTCCTCCTCCTCGTCTTCGTCTTCGTCCTCGGACTCACCCCGTTCAGGCCGGGGCTTTTGTTCCTCCACAAGCGCATATTCCATCGCTTCTGGATCTCCCTCATATACAATCAAAACACTTGAAGAATACATCCGGCTTTCCTCTGACTCCAACACATGCTGTACCTTTTTCAGTTCGTCCGCCAATCTCTGGGCGACCAACTGGGAGCGGTCAACGGCCCCAGCTTTGGCACCAGCAAGGAATTTTTGGAACCCTTCTATAACAGTGTCTTCAGTGAGAGACCGCCCATACCACTTGTCGTAGCGCTTATATCCATCTTTCTCGATGACCTCGCCCCGCGCCCCCTCGGAACCCTCGTATTTCGTAGCATACGGATCGGTTTTACTTCCTTCGTCGCTTTCTCCACTCACGCCCGTCCAGACCTTCATTCCCGCAATCCGGAATCCCAGCTTTGAGCTTGTCGTCTCCTGGGATACAGCATCTAGTTTCGCTCGCTTCTGGGGCGGCGCATCATCAGCCCATAGCCTTGCGCCCAGCTTCACGTCCAAAACGTTCGGCCGCTTAAACCCCGAAGCCACGTTTTCCAGCACAATAGATATTCCTGTCTCCAGCTTCTTCCCGTTCGAAGGAACCCATGGTAAATCCTGCGCGGTACTCGCCGATCCCGGGGTTGCCGCGCTGGGCTGCGCTGGTGCGGTCGCGCCCGGCGTGCCCGATGTCGAGGAGTAGTCTGATCCGGGGAGAACAATCGCACCAGACTGCTGCGCAGCTTCGATGGCGGAGAACTGCTGCTGGTCGGCAGATGCCAAAGTCCCTATGTATGTAGGGATAAACTCTCTGAATTCCGGGTGGAGGGCGCTAGACTCGTAAAACGCGACTTCTTCGGGGGTGCAGGGCTTTGCGATAAAGGAGCCGGACAAAGTGCATTGGACACCGTCGCTGTATTAGTAGCACGAGGTCAGTAACCTGTAACGACTCGTATGCTGAGCAGACAAACATTGCTTGGGGAGGGGGTGAAAATAGGAGTGCTGGCCATGAAGCATCTCGTATCTTGCGGCAAGGGCGGAGAGGCAGAACTTACTGGCCAGCGGCGGCATGGTCAAAAGCGACAAAGCTGTCGGTGTCCAGTTTCTGGGTTTTCAAGCTGTCCGACCGCGACGAAGACATATTGGGTGTCCGGAAGAACTAAGGGATTATTCACTGTCCAACAGAGACCGTTGGATTCTAGACGGCATTCCGCATGAGTTGAGTCACGGGCGATGAGAATTGGAAGCGATGCGGAAGGGCGCAGGACGAGTCGGGTAGGGGAGGAGAGGAAAAAAAAGATGTATATGGTATATATATCTAGGCAAATGCCGGAGAAGAGTAAAAGGAGGGAAAGGAGGCAATCAAACAAAGGAGAGAGTAATAGGTCGATAGGGCAAACAAAGGGTTGGCAGAAAAAGGAGGGACAAGCCACAGGAGGTGGTGGTGAGTGAAAAGAAGTGGTGGAAGTTGCTGGTTTTGTTCCGAGCTGAAGTGACGTGCAACCGCGGAGAATCATGCAAGCATCCGCTCTTCTTGCGCTGGACGATGGACTGACCTTTTTCCCCAAGGAAACACAAGGCGGCCCGAGCAAACCTGCACCGCCCAGGGATCCCCGAGACGAACTCAAAGGAATGGTCGGTATTAAAAATGTAATCATCCGAGAAGGCTCGAGTGCAGCCCAGAGGAAGTATAATACCAGGCGCTATGATGCCGCATGCCGGCGATCATTCGCTGGAAGTTCTTCTCTATACTTCATCGTTCCACTGGATTTCACCCGCGCTTTGCTGAGAAAATTACCAATAACCAGCACGTCAGCTTATACTGGTGCCAGATTTCAGCCTGCTTGAATATGGTGCCATAGAGAGTCATGGTCTAATTCACTCACTCATCCTTGACTAATTTCATTTCATGGTGATGGTGAGTTATCTGCATGTTGCATCATGATAGGAGTTTATGTACGAAAGCCATGTCATCCATACGCCCAGGAACTTCAACTGGCACTGATTTTTTCAGAGCCAGTTACACAGACGAGGCTGTATGTTCAAATTATCGTTTCTCCTCCTTCTCTCTGGCCCTCTCATTGCACACTGCTGCGCTTTCATCCCCCGCCGCAACTTCTCGCGACTTTCCTCACTTCAAACGGACCTGCGCTGGGGTTTCTCCTGCTATATTGATCTGATCCACCGAGACTCCCGCCTCTTCCGACTTTCCTATGGAAGCACCAGGGGTTTGCGGCAGATGTTTGGCGTATAGGGACTCGGCATGACCTGTAGACTCAACCTCCCCAGTGCGTATCACCCCTCGCATAGCCTCGTGCAAAGGGGTGTGCCTTGGTGATTGCGCGAATTTACATCTGCACCCCGCTAAATAAGCTGTCGGGCTGCCTCGATGGCAGCCTTGTCTCTGATCCCTGTTTGCTCCAGCAGCCGGTTCGCAGATTCGGGCTCAGACACTCGGGATCTTGGTATGCGCGAGTCAGTTGATGCAATAGATTACGTCCCTCGGAGTTACCGACGCGGGCATCTGCTCCACGCGCTGGCAGCAATTTGAGTAGAGGGATAAGTGAGCCATTGGCTTTGGCATGAGGCTGGATGGCTTAACTTGCAGCAGGGATTCCCTAGTAATGGGAAACCTTCACTGTGTCTGAATTGGTCTCCAGCAACAGGCCCACCGTGTCCAGGAGCATCATGCGGCTGAAGCCTTTGTAGTGAGAGTTGACCCCAGTTATCCTGGCAGACCACCATCGTTGCTGGCAACTTCATATCCTCTCTTCGTTGATGCTCC